CAACTACACTATTCTATGAGCACAGTAAAATAGCCCATGGCCACTTGCCCTTTAGCACAGTGCGCCTTATGGTCATGAAATACAAGAAGGGTCCCACCTGGTTGCTGACTACCATCACCCCTCCCGGACCAGGCATACTCAAGACTCAGATGCGCCTTATGAGTGTAAGGAGCTGCGGCGTCTCTGTTAATCACACTTCAACGATGTCTTTTTCAGGGATCCATGAATTCAAATGAGAAGGCCAACCGAGCCATTTGACCAGCGCTAACTTTTTTCGGTCCTCTTTTTTTCTGCCAAGTATTTTCTCTATTTTAAACCTTTTGTTTTTGTCAATAGTCACCTGCTGTATCTCAGGTTCGTAAAATACACCTTTCACTGCAGCTCCTGTGAGATCCTCTAGTTTGTATACGGGAGGGTCTCTTCCTAAACGCTCCTTTATGGTAAAGTACTCGTCTGTGTAGGTCTGATGGTAACCCTTTCAGAATATGCCTCGTAGTTTAGATATTCTCTCTGTATCGCCCACATTAAATTTAAAAGTCACCGGTTTTTGGGGTTTCATTTTGTACAGGGTGTTAAAGACTGCTTTCTCATTATCTTTGCACACCTCGGTGGGGGTCATTTTGATAGAGCTGTGATAAGACAGGTTATAGGACTGTACAAGATCTTGGATCACATTAACATATCTTGGCGAGTTAACTGATGTTAAGTATTTCCACATTTTCCCCTTTAAGGTGCGGTTAAAACGCTCTACCACACATGATTTCATTTCACTAAAGGTTGAAAAATGTGTGATGTTATGCTGCTCCATTAGTTTTTTAAATGTTTATTATAAAATTCCTTCCCTAAATCTGTTTGGAGTTTTTCAGGCACACGGCCCTCTCTCAGAATATCACCAAAAGCCTCAGCAACAGCCTGTCCTGTCTTGGTTTCAAGGCACCTAACCCATGCATACTTAGAAAACACATCTATGCATGTCAATAAGTACCTAACATTATCATTATCCGCAGAATATTCACGCATGTCAACCAAATCAGCTTGAAACTGTTTGTCAGTCCCGTTAACCAAAACTCTATTTCTGTATCCTTCCATCCATCCATCTTCATCCGCTTTATCGCGCAGGCCGGAGCATGCTGGTTCTCTGCCACGGAATCCACATCCACTCCATTGGCTCGATCCGAGGCCGGCAGACGAGCAAATCCTAAGCTAGCAGCAGGGCCCAGATAGACCCTCCGCTTCTCCCTGACCACTGCCCACTGCCGTCCAGCTTCAATATCTGCGCCGCAACACCACAAGCCCGTTTCCCAGCCTCCATGCCGAAGAGAGAAAAATATCCTCTTTCACGAGCTGTATTTCCTGGCGCCTCGCACCTCGCTCTGGACAGAAGGACACATCCCCCGTTGGCTTAGGAACAGACATTGACAGCGTTGTACTACGACCGTCAACAACATGAGCTCTCCCACGCTGGAGATCTTGTCAATCTGTCCCGTAAGTGTCCTGGGATGCTCTCCCCACAACATGTAAACTGAGGCTCCATTCGACGACTGCAAGTTCTTCTTGCCCCCGCTCGCCTTTATTTGCCAGCAGGACCGCCCCTGACCACCTCACAGCCTGTGTAGGAACAACTCTCTCCAGCGTGTCCTGGTGTTCTGCCCCGGGGCCTCCTCCCCGGGGCCTCCTCCCGGTGGGACATGCCTGGCCTCAGCTGGCTCCTTTCGATGTGGAGCAGCAGCTGCTCTACTCTGAGCCCCTCCCGGATGGCCGAACTTCTCACCCTATCTCTAAGGGAGAGGCCAGCCACCCTTCGGAGGAAGCTCATTTCTGCCGCTTGTATCCGCGATCTCGTTCTTTCGGTCACTACCCACAGCTCGTGGCCATAGGTGAGGGTAGGGACGTAGATCGACCGGTAAATTGAGAGCTTCGCTTTTACACTCAGCTCCCTCTTCACCACGATGGACCGGTGCAACGTCCGCATTACTGCAGCTGCAGCCCCAATCCGTCTGTCGATCTCCGGCTCCCTTCTCCCATCACTCGCGAACAAGACCTCATTTATGCGCATGATGCTGAACATCTTTGGTGACCTCAACTTCACCAGTCTGCTCTGCAACTTGGATGACCTCCTGGTCTTTGCTCCCACTGAAGAGGAAGCCCTCTGCCGGCTCCGAGCTGTTTTTCAAAGGTTGAGAGACAACAATCTCAAGCTGAGTCCAAAAAAGTGTCATCTGCTGCGGAAGTCAGTCAGGTTTCTTGGTCATGTCATCGACCAGACCGGAGTTGCTGTGGACCCAGCTAAGGTGGAAGTGATTTCCAAGATGCCAAAGGAGGCTCTAATGGAGAAGGCACACCCTATTGCTTTCGCGAGCAAAGCGTTAAGCAGGTCACAGCAGAGATACCCAGCCCATCGCCTTGAGTTCATGGCCCTGAAGTGGAGCATCTCTGAAAAGTTCAGCCATTGGTTGAAGGGGCACAAGTTCACAGTGTGAACTGACAACAACCCGCTCGTTCATATATTGACCAAGCCCAAGCTGGACGCTTATGAACAAAGGTGGGTGGCCAAGCTGTCATCCTACAACTTTGATTTGAGGTACATCCCGGGTCGAAAGAATGTTGTAGCAGATGCACTCAGTCGTGACCCCTTCACCTATTCTATTGGTGGGCGCTTGCTTCAGGAGCCCTATGAGCACTTGGTGCGGAATGGAGAAGGTGCGGCGGCTCATGAGGTGCAGGACGCTTTCAGGTTTGGTGTCCAAAATCTTCAGGTTGCCCAACAACCTGTTCCAGCTCTGACCTCAGAAGATTCCTACAGTTCGTCGGAAGTCACAGCTACCTTGGTTCACCATGATTACTGGGAAACCGCTGTGGAGAATAGAGCTGCGTCCCTTCTCCACCTTGTTCAGCAGTTGCAACCAGTTGGCAATGAGGTACTGCCTTCACTTACCATACATGAGCTGGAGGACCACCAACTTCAAGATCCTATCATCTCCGCTGTCCTGCCACTCGTAGCCTGCAGGAGGCGCCCTTCCAGGCGTGAGAGACATGATATGGATTCCAGGGCACTGGCCTTATTGAAGCACTGGGAGAGGCTCAAGGTTCTGGTGCCGTGACCCTTTGGATTCATCAAGCATCGACGTCATCTCGATCACCGTGGGGAGCTCTTCGCAATTGCCCTCGTTCCAAGTTGGTTGCTTTTCCTAACTTGTGCGGGACTTTTTGAATGAGCTTGGACATTTAATCTGCTCAATTCTCATCCTGAATAACATTAAGTGTTAGTTAAGAATACTGTGTTTGCTTTTGTACAGTTGCACTATTTGGAATTTTGTTTCTTGCGATTGTGCTTTATTCATCATTATGGAGCCAGCATCTGGTTCAGAGGCAACTGGTGTTCCTGATGGGGAGGTTTCCTCTAATGTTGGTTTGGGGCGAGGGTGGTTTCTTGGGGATGGGGTTCAGACACCTAAAGTTGGTGTGTCATTTGCTCCCAAGTTTTGTTCCACTCGTCTCCAGGTTCCCCCCTGTGACATTCAGACCCCGCAGACAGCTGGCAGTGCTGAGTTGAGTACACTCATCTCAGATTTGGCCAATCAGATTGGTCAGTCCATCGTAGCCCAGCTGCAAGGTGATAAGGGGACCAGTATGCCTACTGAAAGCTCTAAGGCTGAGCAGGGACCCCCTGAGCTAAATTTGTCTGGGGTGAAACTTGTCTTGCAATCAGACGTCAAGGAGCCACCAGTTTTCAGGGGTGATGGCAGTGATAAATTTTCCATTCATGAATGGGTCGAAATGATGGAAATGTACTTTGTAAAACGCAACACACCAACAGACCAGCGATCACGTGACATATTGGCTAGGTTGATGGGGAAGGCTAAGGATGTAGTGAGGGTCACCCTACGTCACAACCCCTCACTTGACCATGTCCAGGTTCCTGAATTGATATTTGACATTCTGAAACAGCACTTTAGTGTATTGACTTACTCTTCTATGCCTATGGCTGACTTCTATAACACCAAACCATTACAACATGAGGGAGTGATGGAATATTGGATAAGGCTAAACAATGCTATTGACGCTGCTGACGAGTGCTTGCGTAGGCAGGGGCGTAATGTTGAGGATCCAGGGCGTGAGGTCTCGATGATGTTCATCAAGTATTGCCCTGACCCCATCCTCTTGAACAGGCTCAGCATCAAAGCAGCTGAGGAGTGGACAACCACTGAGGTTCAAGAACGCATTGATAGCTTCCAGCGTGAACTCAGGGCACGCAGTCAGGGCAGTTTCCACACCTCACAGAGGAGAGAGGTTAGCCACAACTGCTCTGTTGTGCCTCAAGAAGCGATGGCGTCACAGCCTGGTCAGGCCAGCGTCGCCTTGCAGTCTCAGCCTACAGCAGCAGCCTCAAACCTCGCTTGTCAGCTTTCGCCCACAGCAGCTTGCTTCACTCCTGTTCTAGCTGATGTTTCGACAACCTGTCCTTCTGGGACATCAGTGTCTTCTTGTCCGGTGCCTACGCCTACTCCTCAGTTCCAACAGTCACCAACATACACTGTGACCACTCAATCTAGTCAGCAGTCAGTTGGTTGCGAGCTTGGTTCGACTAACACCCAAGCTTTTGATGTGACTGGCATGCGCGCTCTGATCAGCCTCTTGGATCGCGTGATTGCATGTCAGAATGTGCAGACTACAGCCCCTGCATCTGCACCTTCGCAGCGTTTTACCCGCGGGCCCTTTCTTAAGAAGAGTTGTCAGGTCTGTGGCAACACTGGTCATTCCACTCACATGCACTGCAGGAGAGAGAATCTCTGTCTTGCATGCTTTGCTCCTGGTCATTGGAAAAAGGACTGTCACAGTCGTCGTGAGGGACGGGAGGCCGGGGCTGTCGCGAGGCAGGGTTGGCCTTCGGAAAACTGAATCACCCACATTTGGAGAGGGGCAGTGTGGGGGATGAACCTAATACCCTCAATCATGATGAATCGGATCTCGAAATTCTTTATGTCAACACCTGTTCAACAATGCCAGAGGGGTACCGTGTCGTGGTTCAGGGACCAGCAGTAGTGCCTACATTTAGTGAATTGTTCTACACCCAAGTTGCAGTGAATGACAAGGTTAACTTGAGGGGCATGATGGATTCCGGGTCTATGGCTTGCACTATGAGTGAAGAGGCCGAGAAGTCACTTAGAGAGGCTGGGGCTCTTGTGAGTGGACCGCAGTCGGCCGAACGTATTGTGCTGGTTGGCTGTGGTGGGAAGCAGACCCACCCAAAGTGCGTTTATGACTTGACACTTACTGTCCACGGTGTGAAATGCATTGTACCAGTTTTGGTAGTGTCGGGCCAGCGTGATGAGCTCATCATTGGCTCCAATGTTCTCAAGTACCTGATGCGAGTTATGAAACATTCTGATGACTATTGGAAGCTTGTGTCTGTGGGAAGCAAGCACTCGCTTCTTGACTATGAGCACTTCTTGGACATGATGTCGTGCACCACCAGATGGAGGGGTGAGGAGGTTCCTGACAAAATTGGCACTGTGAAACTGCCTCGTGCTGTGACACTACTCCCACGGTGTGAGCATCTGGTATGGGGCAGGCTACCCAGCAATGTGCCAGTCTCTCCAGGCAGCACGATCATCGTGGAACCTTGCACCTCTGGGTCTGGGCCGAGAGACGTTCTTGTTGGCCGGGTGATCACATCCATGTGGGGTGATCGGTGGGTGCCATTGAAGATGACCAATCTCTCCTCAAAACCACTAACCTTGAAACGCAACTCGAGGGTTGCTGTCGTTTCATCTTGCCTTGCGGTGGAGGACCTTGATTTCCAGCAGGACTCCTGCAAGATGGCGAGTATGGCCCAGGTACCAGTCAGTGGGCCAGCTGCTACTGAGGCCGACTTGAATGACAGGTTGTGCTCCCTAGGTTTGGGTGATCTTGACATTGACTCATGCCATGCCAGCTTACAATCAAAGAGAGAGCTCGTTGAGCTAATTGAGCAGTATGAGGACATCTTCTCTAGACACCCGCTTGACTGTGGCGAAGCTAAACGCTTTGTACATCGGATCCACCTGACTGATGAACGCCCATTCCGCATGCCTTACAGAAGAGTACCCCCTGCTCATTACCAACAACTAAGGCAGGTACTCACTGACATGGAGGAGAAAGGGATTATTCGCAAATCCATCAGCGAGTATGCATCCCCCCTCGTCATGGTCTGGAAAAAGGATGGTGGATTGCGGATTTGTACGGACTTCAGGTGGTTGAATGCGCGAACTCTTAAGGATGCGCACCCACTCCCTCACCAAGCGGATTGCCTTGCCGCGCTTGGGGGCAATGCCTTCTTCAGCACGATGGACTTAACCTCTGGGTTTTACAACATTCCAATGTGTGAGGAGGATAAGAAGTACACCGCTTTCACAACGCCTGTTGGCCTGTACGAATACAACCGGATGCCACAAGGGCTCTGCAATAGCCCAGCCAGCCAAAGACCCAGTACTGTCGCCTGCCTCTTACTTTCACGCCAGAACACAACTCAAGAACAACAGGCGTAACACTTGAACTGGTTACATGTTCAGTGGCCGAAAAAGCATGGCACCAATGGAGAATGAGAAGGGGAAAAGCGGATCGTTGAGTGAAATGGACGAACCAGAATTGTTTTGTAAAAATGTTGCAACTTCAGTGATGTGGAACTGGTTTGGTGCTTGTCCGTCAGATACCCACCAAAGCACATTTTTTGTAGAACATACAAGCGGGCTGTCGTTATTACCGTATTTGTCGGACTATAAGGTGCTCGTAAAAGCCTTTAATTTTCTCAAAAATCGACATTGCACCTTATAATCCAGTGTGCCTTATATATGAATTCTGGTTGAGTTTACTGACCTTGAACGGATTCTATGTGGTGCACGGCGCTCAAAGATCTGTAAAAAAATGTTTTAGTACGACTTTGGTAAGCTACAAAGCCACACCACTTCGATAGATTTTCTGGGCATTACGGCTCATGGCCTCGCAGAGTAATCTGGTCCCGAAACTCAGTTTGCTTCAGGTCCCAAAGTCAAACAAACACTGCAGCACACTTAGAGTTAAAAATTGTCTAAATTCTGTCATCTTTTATTAAAGTGATCAGCATTGCTGCTTTACCAGGTGTAACAATTAAGTTTAACATCCAGGCATCCATGAAAACTGAATTTATTGAATTTAACTTGATAAAACTTAAGGGTTCCTAATGGTTAGGGACAAATGCAATCGCATGGCTGGATGCTGTAAAAGAACCAAGCTTCAGTCAGGAGAACAACTGAGAAAATCCTTCCACAATACGAAGTTAATCATTAAGATACTGCAACAACATGGGAATAGAGAAGCTGTGATAGAATACAGCATTAATGAGTCAATGGTACAGAAGTGGAGGAAGCAAGAAGAATGAGTT